AAGGACTCCAATCCCCGAAGCAGACACAAGAGCTTGCCTCCAGAATGGGCGAGCAGCCCCGAAGACAGTTCAAAAAAAAAAAAAAAAAGGAGAGCCAAACATTACTGTACACAGAGAAAGGAAAGAAATACTCGTGATTTATTTCAAAAAATAGGGGCTTTGCGTCNAAAAAAAAAAAAAAAAAAGAGCAAAACATTACTGTACACAGAAGAAGGAAAGAAATACTCGTGCTTTATTTCAAGAAATAGGGGCTTTTGCGTCCCCAAAGGCTACAAAAGAAAGCAAAAGAGATACAATCAAAAAGAAAAGGACTTTCATCTGGCTCCAGGCATCTCCAGAACATTAGCCGAGGGTGAGTCGACAAAAAATGGTTGAGAAGCTTCGGGAGCAGGCATGAGAGGTGCTTCGGCAACAGGAATAGCTTGGGCAACTTGGGGATCGGGAGCATGGTTCGACGGAGCGTCCTTGAACAAGTCCACTATCACCGCCTCGGGGGGATCCGCCGAAATTTGCACCGGCGTTGGGACCTCGTCCTCGACAGCGATTTCTGCCTCGGCTCGTGCCATCTCTGCCGAAGGCACGTACTTGTGCATTTGGAAGAGCGGGGAGTCCGACGGGATTCCAGCAGACTGGAGCGCCTCGTCCCACCCTTTCTTGAAGAACTCCTTGCTGTTTTCCTCAAGAGCAGGGAGCACGTCATCGGCGAACTCCTCTCGGAGTTGCTCCTCCGACTTCCTATTCAGTGCCTCGGCTCTTATCCTGTCCAGCTCCTGGGTGAGAGCCAGACAGCTTTCCTCCGAGCCAACCGCCCTCTCCTCCGCGGCAGAAAGACGCCGCGTTTGCTCGGTAATCCTCCCCTCAGCATCGACTAGGGCAGCACTTAGCTTTTCAGCGCCAACCTTAGCCGACTCGGCATCCTTGAGGAGTTGCTCGATTTGAGCAGCCTGCCCCGCCAGGGTAGAGTCCCTGGCAGCTACATCCTCCATTGCCCGGGCAAGGGCCCTCTCCGCCTCCTCCTTCTGCTCTCGGGCCCTCTGGAGGTCCATCCTACACCCGTGGTACCGGGCAACAATTGTGGATATCTGCTGGGTAGCCTGCAAAAGAGGGAAAAAGGTGTCACAAAAATGAAAAGCAACCGAGAAGAAACCAAACCAAAGAAAAGGAACTTACCAGCAGGGAATTCTGGATGATGGAGCGGAACAACACGTTCGTTGAACGCCCCCTATGAGCCGCCATGTCAGCCTCGAAATGCAGTGTTTCACTCACTGCATAGGCGACATGAGGATCCAACAAAATGGAATCATCGACCCTGATCACTTGGTTCATGTGATCAGTGGCTCGGGGATTCCACTCCGTGGCTTCCATTGTCGGTGGAAGGGAAGGGGAGGCCTGCTGCTGCTGTTGTTGCTGTTGTCGTTGCTGTTGCTGTTGCTGCTGTTGCGGAGGAGCAGGGGGTAACCCACGACCTCTCCCGCTTTGCTGCTGAGCGGGAGGTGCCCTGGACTCTCGGCCGAGGCCATCGTGCCGATGTTTTACCCTTCTCTCCTCCTCTATCTGAGGATCCTGGTCACGCACTTGGCCCCGACCGAGAACTCTGGAGGATGGGGTGGAACTGGTCCCCGCAGATGAAGCGCCGCCGGTCGATCCTCGACCCCTCCTGGCAGCAAGGGTTTGCCTCTGCCTTAGGAACCCGAGGTCGATGCGAGGAGTGTTGGACATCGCGACCTCAAGCGCGTCCTCGGCGTCCAAAGATTGAAGGACTTGGAAGTCTAGCCACAAGTCTCCTCCCGAAGTCCCCACCTCGGCGTCCGAAGGAACAACGTCCTCTCTGACCCCGAGCTCTTCAGCAACTCCCTCTACCTCTGCCTCCGAAGCCCGATCCGGGTCTTCCTCCAAGTTTTCCTCAACCTCTAACCTCGCCGCCTGATCGAAGAGTTCAGACCACCGCGAAGAATCAAAAGGCTGAGGAAGCTGTGAAAATTTCTTATACCCGGGGGTACAACAGGATATGGGCAGCCCGGCCGAACCCGTCGTCACCAGTAAAGCTCCAAATCGTGACTAGGTCGGCGAAGTTCACCAGCGACCGAGGGGGAGGAGCTGTTTCCCGAGCAGGAATATCTGCACAAACAAGAAAGTAATCATGAACAAGGAAAATCTGGAAAATGAAATAGTAAACCCGAAGGAACCGACGTACTTGTCGTTCTCCACTCCAGGGGGCATAACAAGTCGTTATACTCGAGACCAACACCTCTCTGCCAAGATCCCTTGAAGATAAGAATATCATCCTTGTACCCCTTGTCCGAGTCGGGAAGATGGGTTACAAGGTACATGGAGGGGTCCCTGACTTTGAGGTAGAAGTGTTGGTGAGGCATGACTCTCAAGAGGGAATAACAAAAAAGGAGGTCGTTGAGCCCAATATTTACCCCGAGGCGCCTATTGAGCTCTAAGACCTCCATGATTATTCGGAAGACATTGAGGCAACATTGCCCGGGGAAGAGGCGGAAATGAGAGAGGAACTGAAGGAGTAAGGGGGGTAAAGGAAACCTAATTCCTCCCTCTATTATGGCCTTAGTATAGAAGGGCATGGCATCCTCGGTCCCGAGGGTAGAAGAGTGCACCACCAAGTCATAATCCTCTACATCTACGCTCGGGAGAATGCCGTACTTGGCCCTAAACCTATTGATCTGCTCATCGCCCTTTACTTTATACTTCCCCGACCCTGAAGAACTAGCCTGAGGATTCTCGGGAGCAGGGCGACGACGAGACATCTCTAAAAAAGTGAGAAAGAAGAGGGTGTTTGTTCTTGAAGATCCCTGAGGAAGTTTCCCGAGGGTTAAATTGCTATGTATCAACCGGAGTCACCTCCAGTCATCGGAAAACAAAAGGATAGGAAGAAGAAAAGAAGGAAGATACTGGAACTCACCCGAATGTCAAAACAAAGTTTTTTCTGGAAAACCTTAAAGCGACTCCTTCCAGAAAGTTCAGAAGGAACGATGGGTCTGCTGGCTTTAAGACTTTAAGGAAGAATGAGTGATCGACGATGGAAGAAGAAACAAGTCTCCGGCGAAGATTCAAGAAGAGGCTCTCTTGAGGAAGTTCGGAATGGCAAAATGAGGAAAACGGAAGAAGAGCCCCCTTTATATAGAGACAATTTTCATCATTGGGCGCGAAAAACGAAACGACGCATTTAATGCGCACGACATCCCGTGATGGGGAAAGCGGCTCGAGGTAATGATGAAGCAGCTGGGGTGGTTGGGAAACCCTTCGTCTCCTTACGACGCGTGCCTTCGGTGTCAGAAGATCGAAGGCTGGGAGGCAGTTGATGAGACTTTTCTGAAATACCCTATGATGAAGACACGTGTCCTCGGTATTACTAAAACACTGTTGCTAAGATCAAGCACCATCGGCTCACAAGGCCCTCTCCCCCGAGGTACTCGGCATATAAGATCACGCATTCAGTATGCTTTGCACCGACACGTGGCCTCGGTCTGATACGGTACCTCGGTCGGTGTCCTACCTCGGAGCCGAGATGACCCTTCCCTTGGTGCCGAGGTGTACCGTCCAGGACGCCTCCTCTACTCCAGGATAAGCTACTGACGTACAGGTCATTAGCCTAGGCTATTCATCATAACCTCGTCTTACACAAGTAATGTCAGAACGTTCTGGAATGCAGAGGTCACAGCCAATAGGGGATGGACGCGTGACATATGATATCACATCGAAAACAGACAAACCGCATGCCGCTGCTGACACGCGACTTGGGAAAGCAAACAATTAATTGCACCATTCCCTTGATGAGACCGCATTCAATGCGGTAAGGTTCGGAAATGAAAGGCAATAAATGCTCCTAAGACAGAGCATTTATTGCGTCCTCCCCGAGAGGAGCACATTGTACCGTCGGCATCCCGATGACCCAGCATTGATTGCTTGGGACCCTGAGCAGTTAATTAGAGAAGACATTCCTCAACAGGATTAATGCACACGCTACCTGTACCTAATGATCACCTACTGGCCACACTGACAGCAATTATGAGCTTTTGAGGTATAAATACTCCTTGCAAAAGGCAAGACGGGTATGCAATCACAAACTCTTTACTACAATACACACTGAGTGTTTTCTCATTCCTCTCTCTCACTCAAAGACTGACTAGACCGTCGGAGGGGATACGCCGGAAAACACTCCGGCGCCCTTCTAACTTGNATTTTTCTCAGTGTTTTCTCCTTCCTCTCTCTCACTCAAAGACTGACTAGACCGTCGGAGGGGATACGCCGGAAAACACTCCGGCGCCCTTCTAACTTGTTCTTCTTTGTTCCAGGAACCCCTTTCAGCCTTACCGGATCGTTCTCCAGTTCCCCCAGGGTCTCCCGTTGCCGTTCCAGGCTACCACCGGACCTCGCAGGCTGTTCCAGGCAGCGTGGTTGGTCACTCAACCGGCTCACTCGAAGTTCACCAGGGGAGAGATCTGTTCTCGTTTTTTATATTGTGCAGGATCTTGCACGCACATGGAGATTCCAAAGAAGTTGAGTATCATGAACAAGGAACAGGTAATGGAGGTCTAACAACATGAAAGAGTTAGAAACAAGGAGCAAGCAAGAGCTCAACATAAAGGTAGTAGGTTGAATGTTCAGAAAAAGGAATTTAAGAAGAAAAAACCCAAAAAGGATAAGGGGAAAGGACAGATGATAGTGTTTGGTCAAAATGAGGTGGGAGAGTCTTCTGAGGCAAATGATGCACATCTTATAATTCTGTGGTTTCTCCCAAGTCAAACGTGGATGATGATCAGGAAGCAAGTGCTGAACAATTTTGCGTCAATAAGGATCAGTTAGAGGAGGGGCAGATTCCAAAGATCAGAACATTAAAAAAACATGAGCCTTGTTACTGATAATAGTTCAGCAAAGTTGTGTGATGCTATTTCGTGACAGTCCCTTGTCCAGAAAAGGGATTCTATGCTCCATCCATCAATCAAAGAGATCCAACCCTTGAGCATAATAATCCAAAAATGGGTGAGATTATGATTAATTCAGTTGACAGAATTTTAGAGAAGCTCTCAACTGAAAGAACGAAGGGGACAATGTCTCTTCGGTCCGACTCTTTACAAGATCTTGATTAGTCTGAAGAATTTGCTGGAATGGTTGCATTTAGTGAAGATTATGAGCCTAATGCTGAGTTATTTGAGGAAGAAGGTGCAGAGGAACATGTATCAGGTGCTCCCAGTGGTCAATTGGTTCTGAGTGCAATTGCTGTGCCTTTTATTCCATTGAATGTGAAGAACCCACCATCATTCTTATTGGAAGAAATTCATAGGTGAATTCAGAGCAAAGAAATTCTTGAGAATAAAATGTCTAGGAGGAAATTTGTTTGGCCCAAAACAATGGGAGTTTATTCAAAAGATATGACTTTTAAGAATCTTTTTGTGCGGAGAAAACGTCATTACAAATAACATTTTTTATCTATTATTTTTTTAAAATATTAGTTAGTTGTAGTTTGAAAATTTATTTTAAAAAATGTTATTAAAAATGACATTTTTAAAAATATTATTTTGAATAACATTTTAATAAAAAAATTTCAGTTTAAAATCATCATTTTAAATGATGATTTAATCTATGAATACGTTATTTAAAATAATATTTTTAAAAAAGAGTTTAAATTTGAAAAATAAGTTTAAAATTAAGTGAGTTTTGAGAATAAAATTTTTAAGGAGAATGAGTTTGGAAAAAGCTCCTCAGGAAAGCAGGACAAAAAGAGCTTTAAGCTCCACCTTCACACTGATTCTCTCTGTCCTACTGAACAAGGAAAAAAGGGCCATGGCTTTGACTCGTTCCTCTGCTTCGAAAAACAGTGAAAACAAAAACAAGAAAATCAGAAGCAGTTGGACGGAGAAAACAGAGGCGAAGAGCAAGAAGAAGAAGAGCCAGAATTCCACTCGGAGCTCGACTCAGACTGAGTCAGATCATCCCAAACAACTCAGTCGTTCTTGTTCTTCTTCTTCTTCTCCACCGATTAAGCGCACCAAGAACCCTGGTGTTCGACTTATAGGAGGTACAATCTATGATTCTGAGAATGGCAAGACCTGTCACCAGGTACGTTATACACTCCTTTCCAAAATTCCAGTTTATTTGTATGTATTTTTGCCTGCGCATGCATTTGTATATATATTTTCATAGTGGAGGAGGGTTAAGAGTGAGAATGTTGGTGCAGTGTCGGCAAAAAGACCATGGATTTTGCTGCTTCATGCAAGCACAAGCGTCAGAACGAGCAATGTACCTTCCGTTTCTGTCACAAATGCCTTTTAAACAGGTCTATTTTTTGCCCTTCACAAGTTTTTCTCACTCTGCACTTTTTAAAGATGTTTTTTCGCCAAGGACATGCAGTGTACATTTTCTCACAAGTTCCTCTTATATAGCTCGACTTTATCAATATGCATACATGTTGTGCGTTGGGGCTGGGCTTTTTTTTTTTTTGGGGGGGGGGGGG